GGGGGGTACAAAAGCTGGTAACTTGACATGAAAAGTAGATTGACGGTGAAACCATGTCCATTAGCTGCACTGATATGTTTCGCGTAGCTAACACACATTCTTAACAGGACTACACCTACAACAAGCTTTTAGTCCGAATGTGTGAAGAGATGAGCTTATCATTTGTTTTGTACAAAAGGCACATGTATACCGCAGCTGCCTGGCTCCTATAGAAACACTTTCAGAATGTGTCAGCGTTTATCCAGCAGACGTAAAAATCACGCAAAAGTTACTTCAAAAGTCCAGCTCGCTTTGTTAGGCGCAGTTGCCCATGGCTTTGACAAACGAGCCGTCGGGAAGCTGCCTGAAGATACCCCGTAACGTGTCCAGTTCTCGCGTGAGGTGTTCTACCCTCTTGCGCAGTCTTTCGTTATCCACCGACAATTCTGTCACTTTATGTTGCGTCTCCACATTACGCATTTTCGCCTTGTCTCGGCTCTTGCGCACGGCTATGTTGTTGCGCTCCCTTCTCAGCCGATACTCGCAGCTGTTCTTGTCGACCCGTTTCTTGTTTTTCCCTCGCTCGCCCATCTTCATGGAGGGCAGGTGGCTGTGTTGGTGATGAGGGCTGGGTACGGGCGTCGGGGGAGGCGTGGGATGACCCGGCTGGAGGTGCATGGTGGTTTGGGCGCAATGCGCGATCTGGTGCTGAAGGTACGACAGATGAGGCGCATGGTGTTGAGAGTGGTGGTATGTGGGTGGCATCGAGTGGCCGAGCTCATCTTCCTCCCGGGGCTCTTGTTTGATGGCCACGGGTCTCATTCGTGCCTGGTTGTCGTAGATGGGTTCTAGTTTGGAGGAATCCATGTAGCCGTTCAGGCAGCCGTACATCTGCGGGGGCCCCGGTGTGCCATTGGCGCCGTGGAGGTACTCGTAGTCTCCGCTCGCCAGCTTGAGTTTTTCTTGCTTGGAGCTGTTGTGGAATAAGTCGGCCAGGAACTCGTCGTTGAAGGCAGAAGGGTCAATGTAGGCGCTGATGTCGATAGAGTTCTCGTTTTCGCAGATCTCGCTCAGGTCTCCAGCGGTGTCTTTGTAGGTATACGCGTTTTGCTGACTCTGTACAAGGTTGGTCATAAGTGGCCGTGGGGCGACCTCGTAGAGGTTTGCTTGCTCCATGGAGAATCTAAAACCCGCCAGACATGGTGAAGAGCTCCGGGAATCCAGCTTGTTCGCAGTACCAGAGAAAGCCGCGCTGGCTCAACGTTCTCGGGACAGGCGAGCGCGCAGCTTGTCGTGGCTGTGTACTTGGCCGTAAAATGGATTTGAGTGTAAAAGGCTGAAACACCACACGAGCTGTCCTGTAGAAATGACACTTACACCCACAGCGTGTGAGCTTCACATCTGTCAAGCACTTTTCTGAGTGCACTTATATACGCTTTGGAGTTTGGAGGGCGGGTGTGCTCTGGGTCCTAATGCTTCGCTGCGTGATCTTTGCGCAAGAGCTCAGTGCACGCACTGATATCAACCTGGTCCTTTACAAATATCATTATTATTGAGTTATAAGTGAAACAGTATGCGATCATTTCATAAAATTAATCAATTTATCATAATATAATATTTCTTTCATAAATAACAGTAATAACGTTTTTATCATATACATGCATTTTATTTAACACTGCAGGCGAATTGTTCGTTAGGTTATGATATGTATTGTAGCAGCCTTTGGAGGTGGGAACTGAAGTGCATGTTTGAAATACTCAATGAATGTGGGGAAAAGAATCGTAAAGAGAGGTATGTGAGCGCAGACTAAACGGACATAGGACCAATTACAATGGCAAAACGGTTACGGACATTATATGTTACGGATGTTATATGAATGAAATACAAATTGCTGAAGTAGAAAAATCTTTCTATAACTATTATACAATTTTGTTTTGTGGCATAGAAGAGAGAAAGAACGAAAGGCTGAACAAAGAAGAAAACAGTATTGCTGTTGCCTTAAAACTCAGTCGCCTGCATTAAAATGCACCATGGTGCCTTATATGCCATATGATGAAATTGTTTTGATAAATGAATAAGGTAAGTCAAGTGATTCGGCTCCACATTAAATCTCATAAAACAAGAAAGAAAACGCCCGCCACAAGTGTTTTT